TGGTGCTGTGTGTGCAGTGCATACAGATTGTTGCAAGACTTTGGGATGCCTAGCCCAGCGCAGGTGGGACAGAGGACTTCGTTGGCTGAAGCATTCTGAGGGCAAAGTAATTTATGCTTATTAAGTTGAATCTGTCAGACAATGACCTCTCCTTTGTCCTTCTCCACTCATCCTTCCCTGCCTCATCCTTTGGTTAAATGAGGGATTTCACTGGCTTAAATATGCATGGGATAATTTCTGTTTTCTTGCATATACTTAAGCATGACCTATGGAACAGTATGTTGTCCATTTTAGAAAATGACCCATGTGCAGCTGAAAAAAATGTGTATTCTGCTGTGGTTGGGTGGAACACTCTGTATATGTCCACTAAGTCCTTTTATTCTAAGCTCTGGTTCAGTTCTGCTACTTTGCTAACTTTTTGTCTGGTTGACCTATCTTTTTGGGATAAGGGGGTGTTAAGGTCTCCTGCTACAGTTGTGGTGTTGTATATTAGATTTTTCATGTCCATTAAGATTTGTCTTATACAGTTGGGTGCTCCCATGTTTGGTGCGTATACATTTATGAGTGTTATCTCTTCCTCTTGAATTTTTGCCCTAACCAGTAAATAGTGGCCTTGTTTATTTCATGTGATCACTCTTGGTTTGAAGTTGAGACTGTCTGAGAACAGGATTGCTACCTCTGCTTTTTTCTGAGGTGCTGGGGACTGTAGTATTGTTATCCATCCTTTGACTTTTAGCCTCTGAATTTCTTTATGAGTTAAGTGTGTTTCTTGTATACAGCATATTGTTGGGTTTCGTATCCTAATCCACTGTGCCAGTATATATCTTTTAATTGGTGAATTGAGTCCATTTATATTGATGGTTATAATTGAGATGTATTGATTTATGATAGACATGTTATTTATCTGCTGTCATTTCTCCTTTTTCTCCTGTGTTTAATTGTTTGCCCTACTTAGTGGGTTCCTTCTGTTCTCGTTCGTGGAGTTCTGATCATTTTGGTCCCTCTCTAGAACATCTTTCAGTAGTCTGTGCAGGATTAACCTTGTCATCATGAAATTCTTTAGTCTTTCTTTGCATGGAAGTATTTCACTTCTCTAATTAACTTGAAAGAGAGTTTTGCAGGATGTAGTAGTCTGGACTGGAATTAGTTTTCATAGAGGACTTGAAGTACTCTGCTCCATGCTCTTCTTGCCTTCATGGTTTGTGAAGAGAAGTCTGCTGTAATTCTGATGGGTTTTCCTGTAAATGTGATCTGCTTCTTTTCTCTAGTGGCCTTCAGTATATTGTTCTTGTGCTGGATTTCTGGAATCTTGACTATTATATGTCTTGGTGTATTTTTAATTGGGTTGAAGTTATTTGGATTTCTGAGTGCTTTGGTTACCTGAGTGTCAGATTGTTTCCCCATTTTTGGGAAGTTTTCTGCTATTACTGCTGCACATATTCTTTTTATGTCATTTGTAATGACTCTTTCTTTCTCATTGATGCCTATTAGTCTCACATTGTTCATCTTTGCATTGTCTTGCAGGTGATGAATTATTTTTTCCTGCATCTTAGTTGTTTTTTAAGAGGTCTTTTCTTATCTTTTCACTAGCTATGACAACGTCTTCAAGATCTGAAACTCTTTCTTCACTTTCAAACGGTTTTGGAAGATTGTGATTGAAATTTTAAGTTCCTCTATATCTCTTTGACTCTACTTCATGTGATCTATTTCTTTCCTGTATTGCTCATTCAAGGAATCTGTTGCTTTTCTAATCGCTCCTATTTTTTTTTTATCAGTGTCTTCTTGAGAAGCAGGTATTAATTTTTTACTTCAGAAATTATTTCTGATCTGATATCCTCTATATGTTTCTGCATTGGATTCTTTACTTCAGACTCTATTAATTCAGAGATTTCTTTTTCTATTTCAGAGATTAATTCTGATCAGAGTTCCCCTATACTTCTCTGCTGTCGTTTCTTTACTTCAGATGCTATTAATTCAGACATTTCTGCTGTGCTTGTGTCCTCTGCACTTGTTCTGGGTGGACTCGGGACCTGAGATTGCATTTTCCTCCTTCTCTTTGTCATTTTGTATAGCGCTTCCTCTTACCTTTGGTGTAGAGCTTTGGTGCAGTTATAACCTTAGTGCCTACTGAAATTCGGGTGCAGATCTACTAAATTTGAGTTCATCCAGTTGTGCCTGGCTTCGGTTTGGCTACTGTATGCAGCTCCTTCCTGCTGCAGCCCTTGCAAGTGAACCTGTTGTGACCCTCTGGCAAGGTGTTCTGCTCCTGGATTAGTTGGGTAGTTTTGGCCCCTAGTCTCCCTACAGGGACTTCAGCTGCAGAGTTTCACCCTAGACCTGTATGCCAGGCCTGGGCTCAGTCTGGAGGGGTCTGGAGGGTGCAGGACAGTGCAGAAACTTTCCCACACACTCACTGGGCCTGGGCTTGGGTGGGTCTGGAGGCATCCTGTGAGCAAAGTGGAAGTTTTTACTCACAAGGTGGGCTTGGGCTGGCTCTGGAGGGGTGGAGGGGTCCCAAGAGTGCAGCCAAAGGTCTCCTTCATGCGGCAAACCTGGGCTTGGTCTGGAGAGGTCCAGAAGGCACAGCAGAGCGCAGAAGGTTTCCCACACACTCACAGGGCCTGGGTTTAGGTGGGTCTGGAGGCATCCTGAGAGGGTGGTGGAAGTTCTCATTCACAAGGTGGGCTTGCACTGGCTCTGGAGGGGTAGGAGGTCCTGAGAGTGCAGTGAAAGTTCTCACTCTTCACTGGCTTAAAAGCAAGGGCAAGGGGCCTTTGTCAGCCTCATTGTCCTCTTCCCTTCCTGAGCTACTGACATAGCCACATGGAGGGTGTGCCTACCTCATCAGTGTTGGACAAACCATGGCTCTTTTCCTGTGGACAGTTGAGGTGCACAGGGCAGCTATATTTCTCTTTCGCCACTACCTGGGCCCACTGTGCCCTGGTGGCCTGTGGTGATCCTCTGTCCCTTGGGTGTTGCAGCTGGTGCCCATGTGTTCCACCCTTTCTTCTTTGGAATGAATGTTCAATTGTTTCCTTACTGATAGTCCATCCAACTCAACTGAATTAAAGGTTTGTAAGTACTCAATACAGTAATGCACAACTTTATAGCAAGTTATGTTCATAAACACATCTTGGCCTGTAATTGGTCATTTTCCAGTGCCTTATGTCCACTGAGCTTAAGAGGGAGGTGATTTCTAGAAGTGAATGGGAAGAAGACAACATAAACAGGAAACAGAGCAGAATGGTTGTTTGAAAGTTGTTACTTTCCTTATAAAGGTCGCAGTAGAGGGAGCCTCCTGGTCACAGTGGGTAAAATGGTGTGTTGGAGAATGTAGGCATCTTCATTACATTCTAATTGCTTAGGAGGCAGAGAAGTACCTCAGTTTGGGCTCGGAGTGTAGAACTTCAGTGTGAGAGACATTGGTTGTTGGTGTGTGGGGTCTAGCCAGGAGCTCCAAACAAACCAGTGAGTTTTGTAGAACAGTTGGAGAAGGACACTGTCTTGTGCTGGGTAAGGGTCTTGTGATATTGGTGATACAAAAGATGGAAGACCCAACACCTAGCAGAAGTGGTGTAGCTTCTTCTGCCCATTGTCTGATCCTCACACAGGCTCCTCACTTTGTTCTGTTTGTCACTGTCCCCAGTGACTTTTTCTCCTTTGTCTGCTGCTTTTGTGGTTGTTTAACAACAATGTCATCGTTATGTTCTCAAGAATTTCTTATTTTTCAACCTCTTTTCAGAGAAATTGATAGAGATGAGAGGAGAGAGATGGAAGGAAAGAGACTGAGTAGATACAAGGACAAAGGACGATAAGATGAGACAAGTGGCTGAGGGGAGAAGTAGGAATGATGGATAAGCAGTTAAGATGGAGATGTGATGAGTAGACTTTCATATTTCAGGCCATGTAGGAGATCAATTGAAATTCAGATTTATTGCCTTACTTTTCCAGGAATGCATGGTATGAGCTGAAATTGTGTGAGTTGCAGTCTTGAAACCTGGGGCTTGTGGATATCTAGTATGGCCAAAACCTTATGTGCAGTGTACTTTATAATCTTCTTGGACAGTGGCATTGTAGTCAATGTGGTTATAAGTATTGTTCTCCCTGTACTATTTAGGGCCGTTAGCTAAGTCATGAATACCCCATGGGGTCCTCTTAAGGATTTTCCTGTTTCTTGTAATTGTACATGCAAGCACAGCAAGGAGCTGACTCAACAGTGCTGGGGTATTACCAGGGTGGGGACTCACACCTTAGGTTTCAGTCTTTGCCATTCTTGGACCAATCCAATATAAGCTGGAAGAGCAGTAAAAGGTGAAGCTTTGCTAGTCTGTCCTGAAACATGACCTTGCTATGTCGCATTTAGTGAGACAGGAGCAGGTTTCCTCATCCAAGGTGTGGGAATAGGAGTTCTTGTGTCTCAGCAATGCAGTGAAGCTAAAGTGAGGTATAGTGTGTCAGAAGGGCCTAGTAGATGTCTAAAATCTAGCAGGCCTTAGTCACTCTTAGGTCCCAGCCCTACTGCCACTCTGCCCATCCCAGCTCCATGCACCTGCTGAATACAGGCCTTTCTTGGAAATGCAAGGGAGAGCCAAAAGCGTGCATTAATGAAAAAACCTGTACTTTGTATTAGTCCTGAAGCATTTATTGTTTTCACTGAGTTTTGTGTAGGAATGAAAGTTTTTCAAAGAAAAGAAACAATTTAACACTGGAGTGGGGAAATGGAACAAATAGGGAAAGCTTTGTGTTACAGAAGGCCACAAATAGTTCAAACCAGCCAAGGGGACAAAGCCAATGCAGATATGAAGCCGCTTGCTTTCCTTGTTGGGTGATGAGGCAGAAAGCTGCTGGCTGTGCCAGTAGGCAGGAAAGCTCATGGTAGCCACTGCTTCAGAAGGAGTCGGTAGAGCCTGTGTATCTACCTTGATCATTTGATCCAGTTAACAGAAGGAGAGCTGGAGAGAAAGCTTCAGGCATCTCTTATGACCACATTCTTGTCCTGATCACATCCTTGAGTCTGTCTTCAGAGTCCCCTTATGCTGTTGCACTAGGGAGTCAATCCACTCTCTTGTGTTCTGCTTGGCTTCCTCCCAAAGGAAGATTGGCTCATACCCAAGGTCCTGCTGAGCTTTCTTATAGGAGAAGGTGAACACACTATTTAATATTGTCAATATGTGGCGGTTAAAGGGAGGTTGAAATTTGTAAATTGGACACAGTAGGAAGCTCACCATTTCCAGCAGGAAAGCAAGCCAGTACAATAGAAAGAGAGGGAGCCTCAGGGTCAAATCAAGGCAGGAACCACATTCTTTGCTCAGGGCACAGTGGAAATTATCATAGCTTTGGTGAGGTGTATCATCTGTGATGTAGTAAAACTGGCCCCCAATGTTTGGGGCCTTGTTTAGGTCCCTCAAGGCCCTTGTGGCCAGAATGTGGGCCCAGGCTACATTGCCAACATAGACTGGGTTGATTATGGAGAATTTGGCTACACTTTTCAGCATCCTCTTGTTTTTGAGGGCCATATTCATCACAAAGGATAACAGTGGGCTTCCTTCTCCATAGATGTAGGTGGGTCTCAAGGCACACGTGTACAGGGTGCCACTACTTCTCAGCATGGAACCATTAGCTTTCAGCACAGCCTTCTCGGCCAGCTTTTTGCTGCATGGATATGGAGCAGACCACATACTTTCATGATGCTGGTCCTCACAGGCATCCTGGATGATCTCCTTGTAGGAGTTGGGCCCAGCGACTTCAATTGAGCTGGTGTAGATGAAGGCAGGCACACTGGCTTGCAGGCAGGCCTCCAACAGGTTGAGGGTACCTAAAATGGGCAGTACGAGGGCAGTGTTAGGATATAACTGAGAGGGTTCACCATGACCCAGGTTCAGGTTCACTTTTATCTCCTCCCAAGTTGAAGTTGCTGTTTATTATTGGTGTATAATTTTTCCTCTCTGACTCAGACGTACTATGGTGTAGTTTTAGAAAAAACAAAAATGAAGAAAAAAAAAGTTGATTTTTTTTGTTATGGTGATTAAATATCCTTGGGTTCATGGAATGTGTGCATATGTGTTTGTAATTTTGTGGTCTTTGATTTTGATGACAGATATAATTCATTCATAGTTTACCATAATAGATATGAAATAATTGTCATTTCTAATGTATATCGTTTTGTTAGAGACAACTTATTTTGTTTTATTTATTTATTTTTGTTTTTAGGACAGGTTCTACAGGGTCTCACTATGTAGATTGGACTGGTGGTGATTCTCCTGTTTTCAGCTTCCCAAGCACTGGAATTATAGGTACATGCCACCATGCTCAGTCTCAATTGCCATCTCAGCATGCCCTGGGGGCAGGGCCAGCACAGCACGCTGGTGCTTTAGTCTTCTGAATTATTTGGCTGGCCCTAGACAACTTATTTTAAATTCACAAAATTAAGAAATCATATTCTCAGAACATAAGCAGGGTCTGGGAAGATAGCCCAGTGGCATAAGTGCATGCCTGGCAAACACAAGATCCCAAGTTTGACCCCTGATACTGCATGCTATGTGGGTCCCAGTACTGGGCATGGTGGCACATGCCTGTAATACCAGTGCTGGGGGAATTAAAACAGGAGGCTCACTATGAGTCTGTACTGCATAGTGAGATCCTGCATATAAAAGAAAAATATATAAGCAGGCCTAGTCCTTAGCCCAAAAAGGTCTGTTTAAGATATGGTCATTTACAGTTATATATAAGAAATAGGAAATATCTATCATTAGTAAACATTATAATATGGGTGTTTTTCTCATTTGTTCAGGATTCATAAAACTTTTGTTAGTGAATTGTGGGCAGATGTGGAGACCCAGCCTCTGTTCTGAATTGCATGTTTACTCTGAATGCCACCTCAAGTTCTATGACTCCATTAGTCCACTTGTGGACAATAGTGGCATACACATTCTCTTTGCTTAGCATTCCAGAGCCCTACTTTGGGCTTCTCTGTTGAGCCTGCTAGAGCAAGAGTGTACCCTCTGCTTTTTACATGTACAATAGCAGATGTTATCAACTCTTGAGTGCCATAGACAAACTAATAAGTCATCTGTTCTGGCCATGGAAGGGATAGTGAGCACCTTTCTTTGAAGCAGGAAGAAATATATTGAGAAAGGATCTCTTCCTTCTTTCTGTCCATTCATCCATTTGGTGCTTTCCTTCCTTCTTTCTTTTTCTGTTTTGTTCATTTTTTCCTCTTCCTTTCCCTTTTAAATGTTTTTACCAGACTTTATTATCTGGAGGGACATTTCATTAAAATTTTATTTTTTTTTTTCAGATAGGGCTCATTATGTTGCCCAGACTGGCCTGGTTCTTCAGGGCTCAAGTAACCCTCATGATTCAGGAGTATGCCACTGGACCCAACTTGAACAGTATTATTTCTAAAAAAAATTGAAGTACTTAGAAGAAAAAATGTGGCTTGGTTTAGTAAGGAGGGTGAATGACCATCACTGCAGTGTTTTATAGACATTAGCCTTTGGCCAAGAGCAAGTGAAAAGCTGGGAATTATGGTATTTTGACATCTGCCTTCAGGGCTGTCCCTTCCATTTATCATCTTTCCTTTCAGGAGATACAACAGATAGGCCTCCTGAGGCAGGGACGAGAGAGAGAAGAGAGAGCATGAGGAGCTCACATTTACCAGCAGTGTAGGTAGCTAGGAGTGTGGTGAAATAGGAGATATAAAATATCCTTTTTCAGATACCTGTGGAGCCCAAAAGCACATAGTCGTTTTGTAAAAGGCTCACATGAGCCACAACTTTGCAGGTTAAGGTATGGAGGCTACATGGGTCAGGATCTAGTTGGGGGTGCTTCAGGAGAGACTGACATTTAGGGTCAGAGGGATGATATTACAAGGCAAGCTTCCTGGAGATAATGTGTCTCAATTTACAGTAGACTGGAAAGCCTCATCTCAGAAAGACTTGTGAAGTCTTCAGGATGTGGGTTTTAGGAGTACCTGGTTAGGACCTACTTCTCTAGAAAAGACCCAATGGTAAGTTGAAGTGATAGTAATAGGGGCAATAGAAATGATTCTGGCTGAGAAACTGTAGTATTAAAGGAAGTGCTGAGTCTTTCTGTTCTGGAAGAGCTCTGTGGACCTGCTGTGCTAGTTTTCAGGAGAGGCTCTTTCCTTCAGGTGGTCAAGGGGCTCTGGATCTTCTCATCAGGCCTGAAGCAAGAGGTAGAAGGAAGACCCCAAAGCCGTCTGGCCCAGGGGAAGAGGTAGATGGATGGATATCAAAGTAAAGAGTTGGAGTCAGATAGCATTCGGAATGGAAGAGCTGTAGGTAGAGCTTTATTGGCCTTTGAATCACAAAGGTATGAATTTAAACTGTGGCCATGCTACTGACTACATGTGGGGCTTTGTTAAGTTTCTTTCCTTTCTCAGTTCTGGTTTTCTCATCAAAAACACAAAGAGCAGTAGCTCTCACCTGTGAGTTGAGAGTGTTGAGCAAATGTCCCTGAGTCAGAGCCCAACAGCAGCTCTTCCCCTCATCATCTGTTCTGCTATCCTTCTCTTCTTACCTGCTTTCAGGGTACTCTACCTTTCACATTGATGTCCATGATGGTCTGTGTATGAAGGGCACCTAGGATGTCAATGACAGCAGCAGTGTGGATGACGACTGAAATGCCCTGGCAGGCTGTCTTCAGGTACTGGGGGTCCCGAATGTCTCCCTCTAGAAGTGTCACTTTGGTCATTGTCTGAAGCTCTGTGGATACACAACATGGGTTAACAAGAAGTTTTCAGATTTCTGAGAAAGGAAATAATTACCTTTGTCTTCAAGGATGGCCATGGAGGAAGAGTTGTTATGAAGGGAGCACACTCTGTGGAAGGAACAATTAAATAAGGCCATAGAAGTCACAATGAGTCACATTTTGTGGAGAAGAAACAAGTAGCTGTTTCTACTCCTTGCATTTATAGCAAATGAATCTGAGGAGGAAAGCTCTTATATGTGCCTGGAATAGGAAGATTGTTAGACAGTGCTGGGAAGCTTTTCAAACTCATTAAGGAGAATGAAGAAGTTGTTGGATACAAGAGGGAAAATTGGGATTTAATATTCTATCCTGTCCTGAGGGATTTTTAAAAAGAATTATTGAGAAACAAATATGAATGAGACAGTTTCAAAGCTGATTAATAGGACAGTTTCAATAATCAATACATTGTACATTGTTATCTTCTTAGTGGCTATCCATAGTACAAGAAGCAGGCAGGATATCCTGTCCAAACACTGTTAGTACACCTCTTTCTTCTCATTGAATTAAGTGAAAGTAGCTGTATATCTATCCTAAGTATTTTGTATATATAAATACAAAATGATCTTTCCTTTGTATCTCCCTTTTTTATACAAAATGATCTTTCCTTTGTATCTCCCTCTTTTTTTATTCCTGTCAGAAGTGGATATTCTATTGGCATCTAAATTCTACAGGTGTTTGAATTCAGCTAAACAACCCAACACTGTCTAGCAGTCTATAATATTAGTGGGTTATCCTCAGAAGTTATTGACTTGAGCCTCTTACAGCTCATTGTATTAATATGGCTTTACTTTATATACCTTGTTTTTATACTTTTCTGCTGGATGGTTAAGACCAAGATAAAGCAAGACCTATATAACAAGAAGTGTAACTTTTGTATCTGATAAGGTCAGTCAAGTATCCTCAGGATTTATCCTGAAATCCTGTACTGCACTTTGTAGATCCTTTGTCAGTGTCAGCTATGAGGATGAGTCATGGACATTGCTTGACTAATTTGCTGTCTGTGAAAGCTTGAGAGAATGTTTTTTTCTTCATGTGACTCTCCCCAGGCACACTATACCTCATTGATCATATTCCTCTGTGGCTCTATAATCTCCTTGATCAGAAAATTTGGAGCACAATTGAGTTACATGATGTTACAGTACAGGTTCTTGTATGTCCCGAGTCTTCACTGACTTTGAAAGGCTAGGGCCAAAATGTTGGCTGATCTTGCAGCCCTTCCTTTTCTCCAATTTTGATCTACTAACTTAGGTTGTTAACCCTCGAGAAGAGAAACTTATTATTAACCTGCAATATATGCAGTTCAGTTTACCCTATCTGACTAAATATCAAACATTTTTTCACATATCATGAAACAGATATTTTCCATCAAATATTGATATGTTGAACTTTAAGTCCTTACAGAATATGAAGGAAAATAATTTTTAAAAAGTAGAAATAAGCATTTACATAATTTTACAAAGAAATTTAGAAATCTAACCACATACAGAATTGTAACAGGCCATACCTGTGACATTTTTTTTCTGATTCTTGTCTTTTTTTTTCATTTATTACCCTTTAAAAAAACGTTTACTTGAGAGACATTATGGCAATAAATGGTATATCATGACAAGAAGTACATATTTAGAAGACCAGGATGGTAGGCACTCCAAGCATGACCCCTTTATTACAGATTGTCATCCTCAGTGCAGCGGCCAGGCTCACAGGCGCCAGCATATACAGTTAGTCAGGGTGAGAATCTCACCAGCCAACTGCTAGTCTCAACAACCTGCTGATGTTCCCAAGGATCACTATGCCACCCATCTCGTGCGTACAAATGCATGGCTTTGTCCCTGTCATGTTTCCCAGCTTTTCTCCTTGCCCACTCCTCATTGTCCAATCCTCAAGTTCTCACTCTCCTTTTATTTGTGTTGTATCTTTCTATATGTAATTCCTCTTTTGAGTTCCTGTACTAGGGAGACAATATGATATTTACACATGTGGGTCTGGTTTATTTCACTTATAAGTATATCTTCAAGTGGCATCCATTTAAATATGAAGGCTTTGAGTTTATCGTTCTATATAGCTGAGTAATATTCCATTGTATAAAAATACCACATCTTTTTCTACCATTCCACATGTGACAGAAATCTTGGTTGTTTCCAAGATCTGGCTATGACAAATTGTGCTGCTACAAACACAGGTACACATATGTCACTATGATATGATGCTTTCAGTTCCTTTGGGAAAATTCCCAGTAGGGGCATAGCAGGCTTGAATGGGATTTCCAGTCCTAGTTTTTTAAGGAGTCTCCACACTGATTTCCATAATGATTACAACAGTCTACACTCCCACCAACACTGGAGAAGGGTTCTCTTTTCCCCATAGCCTCTCCAATATTTGTTGTTGGTTGATTTCTTTATGATAGCCATTCTTTCTGGGCTGAGATGATATCTCAATGTTGTTTTAATTTGCATTTCATGGATGGCTAGTGATGAGGAGCATTTTTTCATATATTTTTTCACTTTTTAAATTTCTTCCTCTGAGGGCCGGGGAGATGGCTCAGTAGGATAAGCGCTTGACTGGCAAACGCAAGGACCTGAGTTCAATTCCCGGTTCCGAAAAAAAAACAAAAAACAAAAAACAAAAAACCCCCCTCCTCTTAGATTCTTTAATCTAGGAGTTAATTGGAAAGATTCTCACCCTGACTAACTATATATACTGATATCTGTGAACTAAGCTACTGCACTGCAGATGG